CCCGTGGAGCCGGCGGGGCGGAGGGAGCTGCCATGAGGAGAGGCATTCGCAGAACTCCATGGAAGGAGGAAACCTGGTACCACATGTAAGGGAGCAGGAAACGAAGCAGCAAGCAGAGAAAATATCAAGCAATAAGCATTCCCATACAGGGGGAGGAGGAAGAGGAGGAGAAAAACAGCAGAGCAACACCTACAGGGGCAGGGAGAGCGAGAGGAACAGAACAGATGGGAGGGAGAGGTGAAAATCCCCTTGTTCTAGAACACGTATAGTAAACTTCAGCCTGGGAAGGGCCAGGCAGATGGTAAGTTGCTTTTACTGCTCCTCACTGAGTGCAGCTGAGTGCCCTGTCTTCCCTACCTTCCACCTGACCCACTCGTTTGTCTCATCCACCTGTTAGGTCTGGCCTTTTAGCTCTTAAGGATACAAATGGTGATTTTCTGGTTGTACAGCTCTGGGCACAATGGCACCCAAGCTGGCTGAGGCCAGTAGGCACTGCCACATTATTAATTATTTGTCTTACCGCAGCACTTGAGAGCCCTGATTGTGGATCTGGACCCCATCATGCCAGGCACTGTATAAATACAGAACCAAAAGTTAGACCCTGCCCCAGAGAGCTTACTACCTAGGCACTATGCACGTGGAATAAGAAGAGCAAGAAGAGATGGAGAAGGTAACTTTTTCCAGATCACATTAAAGACAGTTAAAATACGGACAGTCTAACAGTGCTGTAACACACAGGTACTGTGTGCAGCCAAAGGGAGGTACTTTCAACAACCATGAACAGGAGGGTGATGTCCTCTAGACAGACAATCCCTTTATTAATAGGTGGTCAGTGCTCTGAGAGAGTGCGGGAACAGCAGCCCCAGTAAATTAGCATCCCTGTGGGCATTCTACGGTCTGTATTAGCTATTAGGTAACCTTTGCAGGGGCAGGAATAAACGCCCCAATGCCAGGTTTTTAAGACGCGTGGGAGCAGAGAAAGTGCAGTGGGGCGAGTGAAGAGGGAGGCAGGTGGAATATGGGGCGTGTTCTACAGCAAATAGATTTTATTTTCCCAAACATGTGTTTAATTTAAAAGCCTGTCTGGATTTGAAAAATTGTCAGCCACTAAATAATCACAGGGCAGATGCATCACAAATAAGCACACATCAGTGTGGCTAGCGCTCAACCGCATGCGCTGTGGTTTTCCAAGTCATCTAAAATAATGCTGGAGTGGTTAACTGCAAGTGCTGCTTCAAGAGGGCTCTGGAATAATCGTCTCCTGAATCTTGGTGGAACTGACAGCCCAGACTCTGCTAATGGGCCTTTCAGCACAATATGCCAAGTCCTTCTGAAGGTCATTCTCCCCTGGCGAATTAAAGCAGGGAACAGCAGGAGCAAATTAACCAGTGTACAGGGCAAGTCTAACATGTTACCGTGCAGTTTAACCAGTACCACCCTGCACGGAACAGCGTGGAATACGGAACCTAAAGAACTAGAAGGTGACCGGGAGTGGTTACTGTGCAGTTAAGAACTGGTGTAGCAGAGTTAAAAAACAAAGAAGTCTCATCAGTTTGAAAGTACTTGCAGTTCGGGGTGCTTGCAGGTTAACCCAGGATGAAGAAGGGCTGGATGGAGCTAGAAAAAACAAAACAAAAAGACTCCATCTCTGTGTGGTGCTAACACTACTCATTTGTGTTGTTGCAATTTTTCTTGTTATTCTGATCCGGTTAGTCATTGGAGTTAGTAAAAAAGCCATATTTGGTTTTCTGGATTTCAGGAGACATAAGCAGAGGAATGATGGGGGTCATATTTCCTACTGTAAAACCACACCACTGAACAGTTACAGTTCACTGCTAAAGAATCCTTCTAATCCAGAGTTTCCAAACCTTCACAACTGAGCCCCCTCAAGGGAAATGAACGGAATCATGACCTCCCTGCATCCCAGCTTTGTGTTGTTAAAAGCCTACACACCTGAACTTCTACACACACCCACAACAGTCCTTCACACACCCACAACAGTCCTTCACACACCCACAACAGTCCTTCACACACCTAGTTCCCTCAGGAAATGAGGATGTAGAGCTTCATAATAGGATGCTTCCTCTCTTTTCTGACATGCTTTGATGAGCAGAGATACAGTCAGAAGTACCGACATTTAAAATACCATCCCTGGCATCTGAGTCAGCACTCATAAAACAGGCCCATTCAACACCTCACAGCTGTTGTTTCAGGCTTTCTGAAAACTCAGGCAGGCATTGTTACATCCGTTACATTTGGGTCACATTTTGAAGGTTTTCTTTAGAACCATAACGGGTAGAGGCTTATTTAATAGAAGAAAAAAGTCCGAGTTTCTAGAGGACAACTGAGAGACTGTCTGTGCCCCACCCCCGGCATGCCCTGAGCAGCAGGGTCCCCACTTCGGGGACCACTCCTTCACTAAACCAAACCAAGCCTTGCAGATGTGTGCAGCAAATAGAAACATATTTACAAACAATTATCTTGGGTATGTTTTTCGTGATAGTGCCGTCAGCACTAGTTCTAACAGTTCAGGGAAGGAAGTGGAGTGGTCGAATACTGTGTACAGATGTGGTCTCATCTCAAAAAAAATATACTGGCACTAGAAAAGGTTCAGAAAAGGGCAAATAAAATGATTAGGGGTTTGGAACGGGTCCCATATGAGGAGAGATTAAAGAGGCTAGGACTCTTCAGCTTGGAAAAGAGGAGACTAAGGGGGAATATGATAGAGGTATATAAAATCATGAGTGATGTGGAGAAAGTGGATAAGGAAAAGTTATTTACTTATTCCCATAATAGAAGAACTAGGGGTCACCAAATGAAATTAATAGGCAGCAGGTTTAAAACAAATAAAAGGAAGTTCTTCTTCACGCAGCGCACAGTCAACTTGTGGAACTCCTTACCTGAGGAGGTTGTGAAGGCTAGGACTATTAACAGCATTTAAAAAGAGAACTGGATAAATTCATGGTGGTTAAGTCTATTAATGGCTATTAGCCAGGATGGGTAAGGAATGGTGTGCCTAGCCTCTGTTTGTCAGAGGGTGGATGGAGATGGATGGCAGAAGAGAGATCACTTGATCATTGCCTGTTAGGTCCACTCCCTCTGGGGCACCTGGCATTGGCCACTGTCGGTAGACAGGATACTGGGCTGGATGGACCTTTGGTCTGACCCGATACGGCCTTTCTTATGTTCTTATGTTCTAAGTAGTGATCCACACAAACTGTAGCTAATCTTGACTTACACTAGCAGGTTTGAGAATATTAGACAAAAACAGAGCTTTAATGATTGATATCAAGCTCTCCCAAAATGATAGCTGCTTCTCTTTAAACATTGAAAAAGATTAGCAAAACAGCATTTAAAGGTTACCTGCTCACTTGAAAAAGAGTTGTGACTGTTTTGCTTCTAAAAGATGCATAAATAAAGCCTGAAAGACATTGTTGGTTTTTTCCCTACTTGTTTCTTATTTTAGCAGTTCAGGCCTTGTCAAACCAGGGAAGATTCTTGAGCTACTGGGGATTTAGTGACATAATGACATTGCAAAAGACTGAAAGCTGAGCCATTAGGAAGGAAAGGATTTAAGTCAGGCTATTTAAAACCAAGTGATGTGGCAATTTCTCCCATCACTTGGGGTTTTAAGATCAAGAAGCATCACTAAAAATATTCTATAGTTGAAACAGAAGTGACGGGTTTGATGCAGAAATTACTGGATGATGTTTGTTGGACTACAGAAGGTCAGATTAGATCAGCGTTTCTCAAATGCAGCCACCATGGCTACATGTGCCCACCAGGCAGGGCCGGCTCTGGCTTTTTTGCCACCCCAGGCAAAAAAGCCTCCTGCCGCCCCCCGCCCCTGGCGGGGAGCGCGGCAGGGGAGGGCACCGAGCCCGGCCGTGGGCCCGCTCTCCCCGACTGGCCGGAGCGCCGGGGGCAGGGTGGCGAGCCCGCCGCGGCTCCGCTCTCCCTGGTGGCCAGAGCGCCGGGAGGAGGGCAGAGAGCCCGGCCAGGGCTCCGCTCTCCCCGATCAGCTGGAGCGCCAGGGGGAGGGCGGCGAGCCCGCCACGGCCCCGCTCTCCCCGACCGGCCGGAGCACCGGGGAACGGCGGTGAGACCGCTGCGGCTCCGCTCTCCCCTGCTTGGTGGGCTGGTGCCTGGAGCCGGCTCTGCCACCAGGGGGTTTTCTTGTGGCCCCTTTCTCTTGGGCAGTGACAGGGCGGGGGGACCATTCACCCCTTCCCTGGGGCCACCAGTAGGAGTTGGGCCCTGTCCCCCTCTGCAGCCACAAACACCAGAGGAGCAGGCAGCCTATGTGAGTTCCCTCCTTTCCCAAGAGCAGTGGGGCTCGGGCTTCCGGCTTCAGCCCTGGGGCGCTGGGTGGCAGCCTCCAGCCCTGGGGCTTTGGGTTCTGGCCACAGGGCTTCGGGCTCCATCCCCCGGCCATGGGGCTTTGAGCTCTGGCCCACATCGCTCAGGGCCCTCACTGCCTTCCTCAGCCCTCCATTGCCCCTGGCCCCCACTGCCTCCCTACCCACCTCTCCATTCAGAGCTTAATTTGTCCCCCAGTTTGCCAGGGCTGAGTAAGTCTACTGTGAAAAGTGATATTAACAAACCTACAAATATCAGTTTTCACATGAGCAGACTTAATTGCTAATAAGTTTAAAAAGAACAAAAACCCAGCAACCAAAAAAACAGAAGAAACAAAAACATAAAAGAGAAGAATGTGCAAAGCACCTTGCTTTGTTTCTATTCTGTTTAGGTCCAGTAAAGAACAGAGACAACTGTACATTATTTTTATTATTGTGTCTGAAAAAAACCCCTAGATAAATAAATTACAATGATTTGGACATGGATATGTGCATATTTGTTTGTTTTTCCTAAAGTTAATTAAGTATTTTAGGAAAAATTATCAGAGCATTCTAAGGCCACCAAAACACTTCTTGTGGGAACTCCTGGATTAGATGATCACAATGGTATCTTCTGGCACTAAAAGATTTGAATCTATGAAAAACGTTGTTTTCTGTGTATTTTTGCTAACAACCTTTTAGCTTGGGTGCCTAACTAACACATGAGGGAAAGGATGCCTTTCCGAAGGCTTGTGAGAGCTCACAATGCTCTCCTCCTGAGATTTCCAAAGAGTCCTCCAGCAAGGCCATGGAACAGTGCATTCCTGATATTCCTCTGGTAAAGTCAAGCAGAAAAAACCCTCTCACTGAGCCTTTTCATTTCAAGGTTCTTTATATATCATACAGAAGCGCAAAAGAAAAAAAAAAAAAAGACAATTTTCAATAAACATCCTTTGCCCACTGCTTGTAAGACGACAACAAAACCCCACTAAAGCCAAGCAGTCCACAGTGAAGGCAAGCACTTCATCCATGGCTCTCCCCAGTAGCAATAAAAAAGCAAAGATGAACAAAAAAAATTCCCAACCAGGTCCTGAAAACCTAGAACAGAGGATAAACGTCAGTCTAGCTGCCGCAGAGGTGATGCCTATAGAAGACCTAACAACTGTTCGGCAGTAGGTGTGCTGAGCCCACTGCCCATCATGCTGACCAATATTAGCCCATTGTTTCCTTATGCTCCCCAATCTCCCCCGTTGACTCCCCTCTTATATTTAGATTGTAAGCTCTTTGGGACAAGGACCGCCATTTTGTTCTGCATTCGTACAGCACCAGGGGATCCAGGCCCAGGACCGCCATTTTGTTCTGCATTCGTACAGCACCAGTGGATCCAGGCCCAGGACTACAGCACTAGGAGTTGCCACAATACAAATAAATAATAATAATAATAATAATAAACAAAGGTCCACTAAAGAAATATACGAGAAATCCTAAAGAAACTGTCAACTAAAAAAAATCCCCACATCGCACTTTCCGAATTTTTCTTAAACTTAGCGCTGTCATATATTACATCTAAGATAACTTGAAATGAAGGATTTTACAGAAAAAAATAATTTTATTAGAGTAGCACGGAGATTGGAGTCTCACTGTTGGATTATCTATATTTCTTCAGTATGTGAATGTCTACACTGCAACTGGAAGCATGCCTCCCAGCCCAGGTAAACAGACCTGTGTTAGCCAGGCTCGCGCTAGCATGCTAAAAATAGCCGTGTGGACATTGCAGCGGCTCGAGCTAGCTACCTGAACTTGGACCCAGAAGGTAGGCTGGGCTGGAGCTCAGGTAACTATTCAAGTTTCAATGTCCACACAGCTATGTTTAGCATGCCAGCACAAACCCCACTAACACAGGTCTTTCTATCCAGGCTGGGAGGCTCGCCCCTAGCTGCAGTGTAGACATACCCTGTGTGCACACAGCAGCACTGTATTTCACTTATGTAGTCAGCTCCTTTTAGCCATTTTAGTAGGTTGTTCCTTCTTTCCAAAGTCAGAAGCGATCAGATTAGGGATTAACAGTTTCCATTAGCCCCTTTGAAGGGACACAATCCTCTCTGAACATTTCATCCATTTTTAAACATTACTTCCAGGGACCAGATCCTACCTATGCCCCTAATTCCCCTGCCATGGTGTTGTGGTTTTGCAATCACATTTTTCCTATTTTTAAAAAAGACAGTGTTCCTGCATGAAAGGCCCATATCAAGAGTTACAGGAGAAACAGACAATGCACAG